GGGTCGGCCCCGGGCGGTGGCGGGTTGCAAACCTCGGGCTGGCTTTCTGTCATCCAGGGTACCTGCGGCCGGCTTTAGGGACAGGGCGCCGAACAGACACTGCGGAGACTTTCTGCACCGCGTGCTCTAACCCAGAGCAGAACAGTCCAATTTCTAGTTTTCAGAGATGATCTAGTCTTTATCTTTGGAGGCCTTAAGAGTTTTAAGGTTGTATTAAGAATTTTTAAGAAGGAGCTTCCGGCCTCTCCGGCTAAATGTGTATCTCCTTTTTTTCTGCTGCCTGGTGACAGTGAGCGTTCACTTTTCTTGCGTGGAAGTGGAAAGTTTCACATCATGTTTCAGGAAGGGAGTTCTTTAATTCATGGTGTCACATGCTAAACGTTATGTAGACGTTCAGAGGACTGAATAAGAAGCCTAACAAGTTGGTGTTTGTTTTTTTTTAAGCAACATACAAGTCTAAATTTTAGAAGAATCTCTTATTGAGGAATTTTGAAAGTGTGTGCTGTTGAGGAAAAATCTATGACATTGCAGCTTCAGTAACTTTAATTCTTGGCTTTCACTCTGTCATCTCTCTTGTCTGCTGGAAAGGAGCCTGTGGGAAGGACAGTTCATACATGTGTATGTACAATTGCATTAAAATGCACAAGGGCAGATAATTCTAAACTTGGTATCAGGTGAGGATAATACTCCTTAAATTTAGTTTTGGGGGAGAAGATGATATAGGTATAAATTATAAATAGATGATAGGTATCAATTGTTTTATAATAAGAATTGTTTTCCATGAGCATAGTCTCAAATCAAGGGTGTGCATTGTGAGGGGCTGTGTGTTTTAACACAGAACAAGGCTTTGTCCATAGGTGGAAGGAACTTGTTTCACAGGAGGATGAAAATGCATCTTAAAAGGTACAGCTGAAATGTTTCTGAGGTTGATACCTGATAGGTTAAGTTTTCTGAAATGAACTTCAACAAAAACTTCCTGTAAACTAAGCAGGGGTCTGATTTTGCAGCCCTTGGGGTTTTTTGGCAGGGTGAAACCCAGTGCTGTTTGAATGGGAGGACAATTGGCCTTTCTTTAAACACGGAAGAACACATGTAATGTTACAAACTGAACTAATTAAGAGCTTGCTTTATTTTTGGCAGGTACAGCTAAAAGCTGAAGCTGTAACGTGCCCATGAGGGAGTAGCACTGGTGGTGCACACCAATGGCCTCTGTGCCAGTGGTTCCAGACTCCTACAGCCATGTGTTGGCAGAGTTTGAGTGTTTGGATCCGTTGCTTTCTGCACTCAGGCTGGATTCTAGTCGTCTGAAGGTGAGTCTGTGGTGTTTGGGGTGTGGGTTTTTTTAAATTTCAAATAATGACTTTATTAGGTTTATTTTGTGATTATCCCCCAGGATTCTTGTTCCTTTTGGGGGTGTGGATGCTAGCTGTGGGGGGAATGCTGACAAACAGTGAAGCCTTTAAAAAATAATGTGACAACACAAGGAAAAGAGACTTTTACTAGTACTTGGTAGCAGCCACAGTGTGTGTTGTGCCTTTATCCTTCAGTGTACGTGTCTGGACGTGTCAAAGAGGTGGCTGGCCCTGGGCACTTCAGGAGGAGGGCTGAACCTCATACAGAAAGATGGTTGGAAGCAAAGGCTCTTTCTCACTCACAAGGTAAGGGTAAAGAACTTGATACAAATTCCCAGGGAAAAAGGGAGTGGAAGAGAGAGATTGTTTCAAGTCAATTTTTATTAAGAATCAACAGGCATTTTTCAGTTTGCCGAACTGCCCAAATAAGGTGAAGTTTTGGGCTGCTCTGTTTAACAAAGGTTGTGGTACTAGAGCACATCCCCAGAGTGTGGTGTGATAGTTTTTGGTTTTATATTTTGTTTACGTAATTTTATTTTAGTATTCCATTGGATTTAAATTAGACATTAGGAAGAAGCTCTTTAGTATGAGGGTGAAACACTGGAACAGGCTGGCCAGAGAGGTGGTGGAAGCCCCGTCCATGAAGACATTCAGGATCAGGTTTGATGGGGCTCTGAGCAACCTGATCTTGTTAAAGATACCCCTGCTTACTTCAGGGGATTGGACTAGCACCTTTAGAAGTCCCTTCCAACCCAAGTCATTCTGTGATTCTATTTCATGAGGTGTGAAAGAAATTACTTGAAAGGGTCAGACCTTTGTTTTTCAGATTCTTATTTTTAATAGCAGCAGCAAAGTCACCTGATTCTTTAAGATTAGAAAATAACTTTGAACATGAAGCCAGAGGGACACACCTGTAGATAACTGTCAATGTCTGTTTGTCCAAGCTGTGAACTACCTGGATAAGCAAAGGAAAGATGGGCTGGCTTGCTCTTGCTGGAAGAGGCCACGGGACAGGGGTTGCTGTGTAGCTGTGAAGTTGTGTAGTGGTACAGGCAGTGCAAGAACAATTTTTATCTGTGTTTGCTCCTGTGGTTGCTTTCAGGAAGGGGCTGTGTCCCGGGTTGCCTGTTGTTTGCACGATGAAGACTATGTTGCTGTTGCCACCAGGTGAGTGATACGCTCACAAACCTGAATGCTGGATAAGTATTTTTTAGTAGCTTGTGTGTTTCAGACTTGGCCATCTGCTGAGAACTTGGAGGGGGGCAGGGAATGAACTGGTAGAGGCCCCTACAGAATAATTCTCTACGCAGTTTGATTAACTTTTTTTCTGGAATAAGTCTTATTCCTGTAATGGGCCATCTATGGGAGAACTAATGCATGTGAAGTTATCATGGTAAGTGTCTCTCTGAGACCTTCCCAACCACAAAGGAAGCATCTTCATTAACTTGGAAGTGGTAACAGCACTTACATTGTTTAAAAACCATTTAAATGCTTGTTTTTCCACATTCTCACTGGTAATTCCAGTAAATGTGAGAGTGGCCTTCCAAACAAAGCTGCTGCTGCATCATCATATGAGGAAGGACACTTGCTCCTCTTCACAATTGAGCGTGATGCTGCTTGAAGTGTACAGCCTCAAACACAACCAGCTGTACTCTCGTGCTTAGGTTTTTAATTTCTTTGTAATAATGCATCTTTATCACTGGTAAAACGTCAGAAGACTTATTCTCAAATTGTATTTTCTTAATTGTTTTAGCCAAGGTCTTGTAGTAGTCTGGGAACTGAATCAGGAGCGTCATGGGAAGCCGGAACGGATTTATGTTTCCTCTGAGCATAAAGGCAGAAAAGTCACAGCTCTGTGTTGGGATACAACTGCCCTTCGTGTTTTTGTGGGAGATCATGTGGGAAAAGTGTCAGCCATCAAGATAAACACATCAAAACAAGGCAAGGTAAAATGTCTCATACTTTTGAGGTGAAGAGATGCATGGAATTTTTTTGTTTATTTTAGTAAAGAAGAACAGACTTGCTAGCTGATGAAGTTGTGCTAGCTTTGACTGTTGGGATGAAGAACCAGCTGAGACAACAGAAATCCTAACCCCTGAACTTCCCTTATCACTTCTTCTAGCTGTTTTAGTAATGCAACATAAAAATATTTTTGAGTTTCTTCTTCCTGGAATTTCCAAGTATCCAAGTCCAGAGTCTCGGTGTTCGTGGGCCTCCTGGGTTCAGAAGACTCCTGGTAGCAGACTCCTGGTACATGTTCAGCTGTGTGCTTCAGTCCACAGCTCAGCTGCTGGACTGAGAGTGGGCAATCCCAGAGTCTGATTTTGCTTGGCTCTGTCTGGATACTCTCATTCTTAAAGATGTGAGTTAGTTACAATAAATAGTATGTGGACGTCAAACTTACATCCTTTAACATGTGTCTTCTGCACAAAATGTAATGATACCAACCTGATTTCTAGCCCTTGGGGTGTTCTTTTAAGTTCTACCATTACTGGATCCTCTCCTTCCCCTTTTAACCTGTAAGAAGGAGCATGACCTGGAAATAGGTGTGTTCCTCCAGGTCCTTTCCAGCCCTTATGAAAAATTTTGATGGAAAATTGACTTTAAAAGTTACAAGACTATTGCATGTAAAGAAAGAGCAAAAAATTCATTTGTGGAAAGACAGGGGAAAAGGAGAGAAGGGCACGGCCCACAGAACATGTCTGCCCGTGCCTGTCACAGGAAATGGACTGCTGCACCTTTCTGAACCTCTCATGTGATGCACTTTGTCACATTCCTAACAAAGAAAACTGCCTTGAGTTGTCAAACATGGTGAGTGTCTGCTGGGAAACCTGAGTGCAGTTCCTTAGGAGTAGGAGCTCTGCCTCTGACTTTGTTCTGCCACCCACACAAACTGAGGTGCTTGTATAGCAAATAGTATTTGGGCAATTTGCTGCAGGGTAATGGAGAAAGTGAGTTAATGCAAACCATCTAAACCCAATGGAAGGTTGGGGTTTAGTTGTTTGTTTTGGTTTTTTGTTTGTTTCAAGAAACCTCTGAGGTCTGTCCCATAAAACTGCTGGCTGAAGGTACCCGTGGGGAGAACAGCACAAAGTTTGAAAAGCAAGAAGCAAAAAGCCTCTTAATGTTACAGAATACACACTTTTGTAAAGAGGTGTCAGGATGCTACAGGGACACTTTTTTTTTTAAATGTTCAATAATGGTTTTGGGAGAAGGAGGATTTAGACCTTTATGCCTTCAAGCATTGAAGCCTTGCACTGTAAAGGAGAGGGAAGAAAGGAACTGCTCTGTCTTATGCTGTGTTTTTGTAGCATACTCTGAGTTTTGCAATTCTAACTTAATGAAATGGTCTTTCCTTGAAACTGAGGGCCAGTATGTTTTTTTTTATTTTCTTCCCGTAGGCTGCTGCTGCTTTTGTGATGTTCCCTGTGCAGATCATAACCACTGTTGATTCTCGGGTGGTTCAGCTGGATTATCTGGATGGAAGGCTGCTCATATCTTCCCTTACACGCACGTACCTGTGTGATACTGAGAGGCAAGTTGTATTTTACTTGTGAAATACTGAGCTTTACAGGATCACACATTGTTTCTGCAGTGACCTCTGGAGACCATCTAGTCCAATTTTCCTGCTCAAAACAGAGTTGGGTAGAGCAGATTGTGTGGGACTGTGTCCAGCTTGGCTGTGAGCATCTCTGAGGATGGAGGCTCCACAGGTTCTCTGGGCCACCATTTGTTCACCACCCTCACAACAACAGCTTTTTTTAATGCTGAAATGGAACTTCCTGTAACAGCTTTTTTTAATGCTGAAATGGAATTTCCTGTACTTCCACTTGTGCCCGTTGCCTCTTGTCCTTTTGTTGGGCACCACTGAGCGTAATCTGATTCTGTCTTACTTATTCCCCCATTGGGTATTTGTACACATGGGATCAGGTGAGTTCCCCCCATGAGCCTTCTGTGTTCCAGCCTGACCAGCCCAGCTCTCTCAGCTGCTTCTTGCCGGACAGGTGTCACAAACCCTTTGTCATCTTTGTGGCCTGTCCCTGGACTTGCTGTAGTATGCCCCCCTCTCTCTTGTACGGGGGAGTGTGGGACTGGAGCTCTAGCTGTCACTGGACAGCACTCCAGGTGTTGTCCCACCTGGCACTGGTGGACACAGCACGCCAGGTGTCTCACCAGTGCTGAGAAGAGGAGAAAGATCATCTCCTTTGTCCTGCTGGCAGCACCTCCTATCACAGCCCAGAAGGCTTTGCCAAAGGGGTATGTTACTGGCTCCTGGTCAGCTGCTTGTTCACCAGGACGCCCCAGGCCCTTCTCTACAGAGCTGCTTTCCAGCCAGTTGGCCTGCACTGGTGCCTGGGGTTGTTCCTTCCCCAGGCATTTATCAGTGTCTGTTTATCTAGCCCATGCCTCCTTGGTTTCTGTAAACATGTTAGCAGAGGAAGTGCCAAAACCCTCACTGAAGACAAGATAAACAACGTGCACTGCTCTCTCATCTGTAAAGCAAATCAGTCTGTTGTGGGGGGCTGTTAACATGATTTCCCCTTCATAGATCCATGCTGACTATTCATAGTCACCATCTTGTCTTCCATATGACTAGAAATGCTGTCTGGGATCACTTGCACCAGCACCTTGCCACTGCCAGCTTGATGACTGGTTCTGCTGGGAAAAAACCTTCATGACTTGAGCATTTGTTTAAACTAATGAATATTTTCTTCACCTTGGCTTTCATAAACTTTATGCAAGATTTATGATAGTCATTGCAGACTCTTTTTTTAAGCAACAAAAACCAATTTGGCAACTGATTTAGTGGTTTTATCCTTAAAAAAAAAAAAAATTAATTGGAGCCTTTATTAACGCTGCCTTAACATGTACATTTTTTTTCTACTAGAGAGAAGTTCTGGAAAATTGGTAATAAAGAAAGAGATGGAGAATTTGGAGCATGTTTCTTCCCTGTTGGAAGAAGCAGTGGAAATCAGCAGCCATTAATATACTGTGCTCGACCTGGCTCAAGGATGTGGGAGGTGAACTTTGATGGGGAGGTGCAGAGCACACACCAGTTCAAGCAGCTGCTCTCAGCACCACCTCTCCCTGTTGTTACTCTCAGGTAGGAACGTGAGTGTTACTGGGGATAGACTTGCTTGGGACTTCTGGGCTAGCTGAAAGGAACTGCATTAATGCTGTGGGGATTAAATCAGCTCCTGGTGCAGCCAGATGTTATTCCTAGCTGTCATCCTAATACATTCTCCTCTAGTAACAGAAGCCAGTAGTTACCAAAAATGCCACACCCTCGATTTCCCTGGTAGGTCTGTCTGACTACCACAATGAGTGGTGCTGTTTAAGCCAGCCTTATATTTACAGAATTAAGAATATTAAGAAAGTGATATTATTGAGCTATGCTTGTAACAGGTAATAATTTTGCTTTACAGGCTGGATCCTCATTATACTAGTTCCAGCTGCCCTTCCCTAAGCTACTGTATTTGAGGTGAGTATTTGTCAGTGTAACTTCCTGTTGATAAAGCAGACTTAAAAAAGGTGTCTGTTCTTCTAATTTATATTATTAACTTCATCTTTTTGCATAAGGGTTTCCCAAGTATCATGCTAAACACCTGTCTCACGTGCTGCACTTAAGCTGATGCCACCCCTACATGTTTTACAGTGACTACCACAGTGAGCTGTTGCACCATTAACATCTGCTTTGCTTGCAGTGAGCACTATGTGATGACTTGGACAGAAAGAGGCATTTATATTTTCCTTCCCCAAAGTGTTCAAGTCTTACTCTGGAGTGAAGTAAAAGGTAAGCTTCAAGTATCCTTGCTTTGTAACGTTGTCTGTTACATTTGTTACTTCTGAAGTCCACGGAGTCTTTTCAAGCTCAATTTCTGCAGCTGCATTGCAGAACATTGATCAGAAAACTCTTTCCTTATCATCTGTCAAGCATATCCCTGAATATTAACCCTCTCCCTGCCTCCTTCAGCCAACCCTCACTCTATACTTCTGACAACATGCTTGAGAAGTAAAACATGGTGTAGGGTGAATCTTAAAACACAGTAATCAAGTAGCAATTTGGCTGTATTTAGGTAATAGCTGCAGTAGTAGTGAGGTAAAACCTGCAGCATCCTTTCCTCAGTTCTTTTTATTTGTTTTTATTCTCAGGTGTCCTGTGAAGGAAAATGTGTCTGCTGAAAGGTTAAATTCTGTTTGGTGTTTTTTTTTCCTAGCACTTGTCTGAATGGAGCCAGGGTGTGTACATATTCAGCAGATGAGACAACCCTCAGAAACAGTTTTGTGTGTGGTTATAGGCACAGCCCTGGAATGGTTAGTTATTGTCAGGCAGTCTTTTCCTTCCCCTTCTCTTCCCCTTTCTGGGGTTAAGTTTTGAAAGTTTTGTCCTGGAGTGTTTGCACAGAGCATAACTATTTCTTTTGAAAACCACTGAAAGGTCTGAGTATTTTTCTACCAGAAAATGTTTTCCTTCTGTTTCAAAGCTACCATTGATATATTTCATCAGTCTCTTGTTTTTCATCCCCCTCCAGAGGAAAAGGGAACTTTTCAGTAACTGTATAATTTTTAGATGCTTTCTAGAAATGCAGCTGTGGAAAGTTTTGATACTTGAGCTGTGCTTTATAGTAGTTAGATGCTAGCTTGGCACTCCTCAGTGTCTGTGTTCCTCATGCCACTTGTGCTGCGGTGTATTCGGCCTCTGCACACGTTTGCAGTCGGATGGGAAATAGGCTTCTGCCTTCTTTGAGGAACAGAAAGGAGTGTTGGCTAATGACTTCAGTCCTTTAGGTGTTTCTGTGTGTCTGGCTTTACAGATATTCAGGATATTGCAGTTTACAAAAGCGAGTTGTTCTGTCTGCACACAAATGGAAAAGTTGTGCACCTCTCCCTGCTGCTGGTGGACCGCTGCGTAGAGCGCCTGATAAGAAGAGGGTTCTGGACCCTTGCTGCCAGGGTCTGTTGTCTCTTCCAAAATTCAATTATTTCTTGCAGGGTAAGTGAATACCTCTTTGTAAACATGTAATGCAACTTTACTCTCTTTCCTGTCTCCCTCTTCCATTAAATTCCATAGGTTTCTGAGATACATATTCTTGGAGTTCTTAAAAAGTCTTCTAAATGTTATATTTTGGGATTAAAACTAGCCGGCTTATATGATACCTTTTGCTTTTCACATGTGCTTTAGAAATAATGTTTCTCTTTCACTGTGTACTTTTAGGCAAGAAAAAATTTGCCTGTAGAGAAGCTGGAGCACTTGAAGTCTCAGCTGGATGCCTCAGCTCAACAAGATCTCATTTCACAATTGGAAGAACTCATTTCAAAGTTGGAACCTGTAGATTCTGCGTGCAGCAGTAGAAGGAGCAGTATTTCATCACATGTACGTGTGTTCCCAGTGCCCAAAATGTTACCTGCAGACTTCATGGCTTAACATCACCTCATTGCTAGCTTTGAAGAGGAGGCTTTCATTTTTACCATGTGTACTACAGCTGATAATGCTACTTTTTAGAATCAGTTGGGGTAGAGAGGTATGAAATACTACTGCTTGCATTCTTTAAGCTCTCGGACCTCTGCCTCTTCTTCCATATTATTTTGTAGCTAGTGGTTGAGGTATGGACAAAGACTGATAAAAAGAAGGCTTTCTCTGCAGCTGAAGTTCAGTGTCTTAACATGCTTCAGTAAAGGTCATCTTGATTGTATCTGTGGTTTCATGTGAAAACTGAATGTCCCAGTGTTCAGAACTATTCTAGTCAAATTTTAAAAAATCCCTCACTCCATGGAGCTCTAGGAGGGGAGGGAATAAAAAATCAAAGCATATTTCTACCACTGTTCTACACATGCAGCTGCATGGTGTTTTCTTGACTTCCCATCAGCTTTTCAAGAAAGGGGAGCTATTGCATAGTTAATACAGTATCAGTTGCTGCTTTCACACTAACAATATTTAAAAAGTAATGTAAATCCAATCTTGATGTGGCAGACAAGTTCTTTTCATTAGCAGATGGGAAAGTAAGCTACATGTACACCCTTTTCCTCATGGTCTGTGTGTCATGGAACTGGGTAGTTCTGCAGGGTCTGTAGTTGTGTTAGCTGGGTCTGGTTAACCAGCAAAAAGAGTCCAGAAAGGGCTGAAGTGACTGTAAAGATGCAGGACTGAAGCAGAGATGGGCTTTTCCAGACAGGCCATTATGAAGTGCTGTGAGGTTATTTGTGTGGCTAGGATTGTTTGAGTTCATTGCAGGAATTTTAACAAGTACAACTCACAACATTGTATCTCCTCTCCCTGGGCTGACAGGAAAGCTTCAGTGTCTTAGACTCTGGAATATATCGTGTCATCAGTCGAAGAGGCAGTCAGTCAGATGAAGATTCATGTTCTCTCCACAGCACATTCTCAGAAGATGAGAGGCTTAAAGAATTTCCTGCACACCAGGAGGATGAGCCAGTAGAACTTGGTAATGTTTCTTAAGGAAAATGTGTGATTCAGATGCAAGTTTTACTTATTCTGCAGCAATTCACTTGGGTTGGTTCTGTCTCCCACCTTCCAGTTGAACTCCTTGGAACACTGGGGTGAAGTGCTGGCTCCACAGAAATTAAGTCAAATAGTTAATTAAAAGTAAACAAAACCCAGAGAAATAAACCAGAAGGTCCAGAGGACTCTTACCAAGCTTAGGACATCACTCAAAATTTTTTTTCCTGTCCTCTGTGTGGAATTCAGCATTAATGCTAAGGTTCTCTTAGCTGACTATGCCAGTTTTCACTGAGCTTCAGATGACATTCATTTGCTGCTGCTACCCTTCCAGTAATACCTGTTACAGGAAAGAATTTCTTATCTTGGCTCTGGCTTTATATTTCTTCAGGGAAGGCTGTAGGCTTCTGATAAATGTTCTTAAGTTTCTTGCAGGATTTCATTTGCAGAGGTGATAATCTCTTACACGTGTATATGTTAGCACAGGGATGATAGAATAGTTAACTAAAATTTAGACTATCTAGGGAGCTTTTTGTTTTCTAACAAGTACCTGTCACTGGACAAAAGGCAGAGTAAGACAGGAAAAAGACAGACTCTTGTTCTCTCCCCTAGGTGGGACTGGGAGGGAATGCAGAAACCCGTGAGGATGAGGAGCTTGCTTTAGTTCCAGGTTTGGTAGAGAGGCTTTCCAGTAAATGGCTGCTGTCTAGCATTTGTAGAGAGTAGGAATTGAAGGTGGAGAGAGCTTGGATGCTTTGCTGAGGAAATCCACAGTGGGGAGGGAGAGTACAGAAGTAAGTAGTTACTCCCCTGCTTGTCAGTGGTGTTGTTCTGCTGCCTAAGCTACATGCTGTTTGCAGCACTTAGGTTAACATGTGCCTCTACCTACATCACCATAAAAAAAAAAGTGAGAAAACTTGGAAGGAAGTGTATAATTTCTGATATTAAAAGTAAAATGAAGGGACATAGGTTTTGAATGTCAGAAGATAGAAAAGTTCTATCTCAACAGGAGAGAACCAATTTGCCCATTATTTCAAATCAGAGGAGTTCTAGAAGCACGTGTGTTTCATTTGGTATTTAAGAGAAATGGACCTAGTTTCCTTGTTTGCATTTACACAAGATGTCCTGAGTTTTTAGGTTTCTTATCTGTGTAATGAACAAAAGCAGCCTTATTTACAGGCAGTCATAAAATCTGTTGTGACCTTTAGGCACTCTCAAGGGAGACTCTGGGTTCTGATGGCAGAATTTCTTTAAAAGCACAGCGTCTTTTCCTCTCAACAGTGCAGGGAGTGCTGACAGTTGTAAAATGCACTGTTAGCCTTACTTAATATTCTGCCTTTTCTTATCTCCATCCCTTAAAAATACAGTGTGTTTTTACCAGGAAACAATTAATCAAAATGCATTGTAGGTGCTGTTAGGGATAGAATCACTGTTTCCTTTTCATTCTTATATATTTCCTGTGATTCTTGCCAAAAGCCAGAGAGCTATAGGCTCAATTATATTTTTAAATATGTTCAGATGAAAGGGTGATTAATCACCTTAACCGTGGCTTAACCATGTGTCTCTGTATGTTCCTATGTGACTTAGGTTTTAGGAAGCCATGCAATGTGAATTGATGTTTGCCATAATACTTAATTTTCACAGATGTTTAAATAACTGACAGTGTATTAAATGAAGGATAGAATCACTGTTTCCTTTTCATTCTTATATATTTCCTGTGATTCTTGCCAAAAGCCAGAGAGCTATGGGCTCAATTATATTTTTAAATATGTTCAGATGAAAGGGTGATTAATCACCTTAACCGTGGCTTAACCATGTGTCTCTGTATGTTCCTATGTGACTTAGGTTTTAGGAAGCCATGCAATGTGAATTGATGTTTGCCATAATACGTTTAAATAACTGACAGTGTGTTAAATGAAGGTTTTGTCCCCTAAATGGACTGTAAGCCTGCTTAGAAGATAGTTTCCATACAGTTGTTCATCATTATTTGCCTTGTTATAGGGCCAGAAGGCTTAACAAAGCAGACTTGCTGGGTTCAAAGTCAGCTACAAAATGGCCATTGAAACCAATTAGCTCATCTCTGGTTGCCCACGTTCTAGACTATTAAGTAGGAAGGTATCACATGCACATTATCTGTTAGCCATTAGTGACTTGTGGTTTGCTTCACTGTTCCATTTTGCCAGGCCACTGTTTCATGACTCTTTATTTCAATTCCATTTGTTAGACACTGTACCTCATGCGTCTGCGGCGGCTGAGGCTGACCGGAGTGAGACATTTCTCCCATTCAGTATCCCTCTGTCATTTCGTTCCCCATCTCCTCTCGTCTCTCTCCAAGCTGTCAAAGAAAGGTAAAACTTGCAGCAAGTTCACTCATCCATTCCATCTTCCACTTTTCTGTCCTTTGAATTTGTAGCATTGTCTGCTATAGTCACCTTGTTGCAGAACAGTATGGACATCTGAGCTGAAACCCAAGCCATGCAGTCAGGTTTGGCAGTTGAAAGCTTCCATCCTGACTCTGAAGAAGATACAAAGAGCTGCTGGTAACTTCAGTGGAGCCAAGATTTCCACCTCAGTTTTTAAATGGCTAAGAAATGTTTAAATGCCTGAGAATGTTTAACGTTACCCTGTAAACTGGGGTTGTGGTTTGCATTCAAAGCAAACTTGCTGAATATTTTGGGATTTTGCTTTTCTGGCACTTAGATGAATGAGTGAAGGGTTGCTGTGTTGCCTGGGAACAAACATTAAAATATTCAAAGTGTAGTAGGTATTGCTAAAATGTGCTTACAAAGTGCACTGTGTATTCTGCCATCTCCCCACACAAACCCTGCAGTGAATCTGATCAATTCCCCAAATGTTTATGGAATAATGGTAGCTTATACTCTGCAAGTAAATACCCTGGTGTCTGTTTTATGCAGAAGTCAAAGTGCTGTTTTAAAACTCACTGTACAGAATGGCTTGGGACAAATATAAAGGACATTGTGTTAAATACATAACTTAAAAATTTAACATGTTAACTGCATAGATAAAATCTTGCTGGCCCATGATGATGGTCTGAAAACTTTCCCTCCCTTGATCACTTGGATAGTGAATTACATCTTTGTAGCTGATATCAATAGTGTGAGGATCTCAGAATAACCTTCAGGAGTATATGCAGTGTTTTGGATTCTTTATAAACCTTAAACTGTTTTTAGGAGTTTACTAGTAATAAGTGTTTCTGCTAATGAGAACTAATTTTTTCATTGTTCACTATATTCAATTTATAATTAAGATACTATCATATTTACAGATACTTTTTCAGAATTTACATTTAATTCTTCTATACATTAAAGTCCAATTGTTCGGCTGCATTTCAATCTTTTCTGTCTTGTGCAGCAACCTTCAACTTTTGCTATACCTTGGTACAGTAAAAGGAGCCATCTTCTTTGGCAAGGAAGTGAAAGGATTGATTTTTTTCTTTTTTTTCTTCTATGGCTTTTTATTTCCATGATGCTTTTAAATTAGTTTTTTTCCAGAAGGCAAAATGTTGATTTTTCTGATCAGCTGTTGATGACAGTTCTATCCATGGTAGTGGTGCAAATAATGTGATTTTAGTATGCTCAGTGGGCTTTCCCTTGAATGAAGTATCTGAAGGGGTAGGGATTGATAACATTGGAAAGGACATTTTTAGTGAGCTTTGTAATCTGAAGAATTAATCTGGTGTATTGTAAAACTTTCTCACCACCAAGAGGGACATCATTTCCTAATGGTGCTTTCTGTTTATAAGCTTTGAAATGCAATGCAGCCAATCTGCATTTACTTGCCTAGAAATACATGTAAAAATCTGAATGATAATGTTTGTGATCCTGCTTCTCCAGCAGCTAAAAAACCCCAAGTCTTAAATATTTCAGGCTTTTACTTTGTGCTGAAAGTATGGACCATGACTGAAGTATGAATTTTGAGCAACTTCTGATTAGATTTTGTTCTTGTTGGTCATCGCTGCTCTCATTGTTTTCTCAAGAGTTCTTCAGATTATAATTTTTTTTTGAAATCATGGTGTGAATGGAAACAAAGTGCTTGATTTGTTTGGTTTTGAACTTCTAATTTTAAATGTTTGAATCTCTGGCTCCTAGTGTTTCCAGCTTTGTACGCAAAACTACTGAAAAGATTGAAAAGATTGGCACGCTTCATATAAGTCCTGATACTAGAGGGAGGCAAGAAGCAAAGGATGAGGAGCAGCTGCAGGAGCTGACTGTTAATCTGGTGGCATCTCCCCAGGAAGAGAAGGAGTGAGTGCAAAACCACGTTTCCTTGGCAGTCACATTCAGTAAATGTTCTGAGCATAGCAACCTAAAGAAAAACTTGTCTCTGGTGGCACGAGCAGCTCAGTGTTGGGGTTTCCTGGCTGCCTTTGTCACTGTGGTGGGTGTCACTGGTTCCCCCTGACTCCTCTCCCAGGAGCTGAGGGGGCAGTGGACACTGCTGGCTGGGGGAGCACATGGCCTCCAGAGAGCAAGGACAGGGTGTATTCAGCAGCTCTCGTGGACTCTATCTGTGCTGCTCGTTTGAGTTATGGACACGAGTCCAACAGTTTTATCTCCCTAAAATCATCTTCCTTTTCTGTTTTTACATTCTGTGTGTTGTGTTTATTGGTCTGGTGTTAATAATGGCAGCTATAAAATATTGAACTTCTTTAATGGTTGTCCATTTAATACAGAGCTAAATTATTTAATATTCCAATGATTTGCTAACTTGCCATTCTGGACTAACTTCCATATAGTGGCATGATACTGATTTTTATTCAGTGCCTGTAGAAATCTACTGTAGTTGGAGTAGAAGCCATGAGAGAAGGCCACAAAAATAGTATTGTTAGTTGCTCTTCATACCCAATTCATCCATAATTTCTGTTGAGCTGTTCCTTCCTTCGTTAGAAATGAAAGCTTGGTCATTTTAATAAAGGAATTAATGTTTCCTCCAAATTTGGGGAAATCCTCTTGAATGTTTTCCTAGGTTAGAGCCACAGAGCTGCCGACTTCCAGAGGAAGACCATTTAAGAGATCTGAAGGCTGCAACAGCAGAAGCTATGTAAGCAGCAAAACTTTTTAGTGTATAGATATGTTGGGCTTTGGTAGAAAAATGATTGTTTGGTTTGTTTTTTTTATTCACTACATACATGAATGCATATATGTTGCTCTTGCATACATGTAAGAGTAATGCTTTAAACATCTGTTAAGCAAATTAGATCCTTTCAGATCATGTTAATTATTTGTCTCCCCTACATAAAACCAAGCAAAACCCACTACTTGTACAGCATTTGCAATGCTTACTGTAGTAATATCCTTCTGTCTTTAACTACAAGCATGGTTTAAAAAAACAAAACACCTAACAGAAACACATTGTGAAAGACATCTTGGGGACCACAGAATGTACTAATATCAAATGCAGGCAGCATAAGTAGCCTGAATTCTGAGTGATGCACTGAGAACCACATGAAACAATTGACTGTAGGTCAAGTTTGGGAGTATACTTTGGATTACACAAAACTTACATAATGCTTCACTTGTGGCATCTTGTAACTGTTAAGCAACTTAGCAACTTCTCTGTGCTGCAGAGCCAGACTCCAGGATCCCTTGGTTTTGTTAGAACCACAGTGTATGAGAAGGGTTTTGCAGGAATGGCTTGTCTGTCTAGAAGAGAAGTTTGGCAGCAAAGGGCACGCTGCTTCCTTGGTTAAGAGAAGCAAGACTGGGTGTGCTGAAGACCAGAGAGCAGTCCTGGAGGAAAACCTCCAGCTGGATCCCCCTGATGGAGACCCAGCAGACAAAGAGCAGAGTAGTATCTTGGAAGGCTGCCCTGAAAAGGAAGATACAAATGGAACCTGTGTAAGCAAAACTGCATGTGACAGTAGTGGTGATGTGAAGGGGCCTTTGGACTGCAGCTTCCAGGTGTCCCCTCCATGTGCCATAGCACCAGATGTTCAGAAAGGTCTCGTGGAGCTGACAACGCTGTGTTTTGAGCTGCGCGTGTTTTCTTCTGGAAGTGGTGTTGCTGAGGAAGGCTCTGAAGGAAGTCTGCCACTAGCAGCCTCAGGGACCTTGGCCTGTAGGTTTATGCAAAGCTACTTCTTTCTTCTGGATTTAAAAAGACTGAAGCAGTGTATCCTGACCATGTATGCAGCCAGGCCTGTCGTGTGGGAAACCTACCTCGCGGGACTGAAAGGTAACGAAGGAAAGGTTCATTACTGGTGAACTGGAAGTAAGACTGTTTGGGAAAGAAAAGAAAAAAGCTTGAAGATACTTTTGTGTCTTCAAATCTTCTTTCTGCAGATGTAGTGTGGGAGGGGGAGGATGGTTGATGTGTGGGAGTTTTAATTCTGGTGTGGGGTGGTTTGGCTGGTATTTTTTTCCCCAGAGGCTACCTTAGGGAGAACTGCTGGCTCCTTGGAGAGACTTCTGCCTTCCCCCTGCCTTGCAGTGCTGAACCTTTTAATTTCTATGGACCTTGCTGATTGAACACAGTAGTGATTACAGACCAGATCTATATTAAAAATAATGTACGTGCTTCAAAGAGCAAAAGCATCTTTATTAGAATCGTGTGTCCATAGAAACAAGGCAAAAGGCAAGGGAAAGGCTTCAGTGTTCACACTGGAAATGGAAGCTGTGAAACAAAACTGAATGGAGTACATGGTTCCCTGAGGACGAGTGGCTTGTGATCACTTCAGACTTCCTTTTTCCACAGAAACCCTTTCTGATCTTTGTGGTGCTTCTTTAGCCTTATTGATCCAAAGCTTCCTGATTACACTGGCAAACAGAACTTCATTTGTTCTCTGCATTCAGCTTCTGCTTTATGCATTTCTTCTCAGAGTGAGTTAGTGTCTTAGCATTGGTTTTGTGCCAACAGAGTAGTCAAACGACAGAATCTTGCTTTGAGGGTTGGTACCTGGTATGTGGGGTTTGGGAGTCAGTTTGCTGTTTGGATTTTGAGAGCCCTGGAAGTGGAAGCAGGGTGTACTTTCCCAGCTTGGCCAGTTAGACTGCACTTGTGCCTGTGGATTAATACCCACAGCTCATCAGGATCGAGGTTCCTGTTGAATTCTGCACTCTGTGAAGTCAGTGTCCAAGCAGAAGTTTCTATTTATTAATAGAAGCAAATTGTGATAGATGAAATCTGACACAGATCTGCATTATAATCAGCAAGATGTATGTCCTGCAGTGGGCTGTCTTTTTTCACATGAGAGGACAAATTACCTCCTCAGATGTCTAAAATAAAGGAAAACATATATATAAAAAAAATTATTCCATGCCTTATTTGTCTTATTTTGTAAATGCAATAAGCTGTAAGCACAGGTCAGGGATGTTGATTTCCATGAAATGAAAAAGTGGGACCTGTTCAGTTGTTACTGCTGTTATCCAGAGTTCCATGAAAACAGTGCTGACTTTTGTCCTTACGCTTAACAACAACTTATGTGTCTGTTAACAAAAAAAAGCAACTTGCCTGTATCTTGTAACTTGTGTGCTGGTTGATTTCAGAACTAACTCGTCACAGTCCCGTGGCTTTAGCAATGGAAAATGGAGATATGTTAAAAATCCTGAAACAGCTGCATGACCTGGGGCCCTGGGGTGACAGCCCACTGTTACTGGCACATGCTCAAAGGTTTGTAGCCAAGTCCTATTTTTTTCTTCTTGAGTGTTGTTAACTTGCTAGCAGGCATTGATTTGCTTAATATTTCATTAAGCTTTCTGGGAATCTTTTAAAGAGATCACCTTTCAGTAGTGTCTTGAACTTGCAAGAGATCTTGGGAAAAAAATTGTAGTTTTGCTGTTTATACTGAAAATAGTTTTTATCTTCTCTCTCCAGGCTTTACGAAAAATTTGGGGAAATTGCTCTTCGGCCCCTGATAAAGTTCCACCCCTCTATTTTGCCTTCTGATATCAAACAGCTTTGCAGGAATGATCCAGCTCACTTTTTAGCCTATTTAGATAGTCTGGTGAAATCAAAGCCAGAGGAAAAAAGGTAAAGAGAATGCAGAATCTTTTTTTGTCTGTGTGCTCTCTTCATCATGTGGCTGTGTGAGGGTTTTTTGGTTTTGGCTTTTGGTTTTTTTTTTTTTCCACTGTTTCTGTATATGTCTGCTTGGTATTGTTTAGCATTAGATGCTAGTTCATTCTGCCAGTTTTAGTTGGTCTCAGTCTGGGTTTTTTGTTAGATAAGATGCTAGTTTTAAGAGGGTTTTTCTAAATATTTTCAATGGAACTGACTGTCCTATGCTTGCAGTTCAGTACACCAAGGTTAGACAGCATTTAAAACAAAGCAAAAAAATCTGGAAGAACCCAACCTGCAACTTGATGGCTTTCTGTGATCCCCCCAGTTTCTAGAAATAAATCATTCGAGGCTTTTCCATATTTAATTTTACATCTATACTTTTTTTCTGTCTACACACAGTCTCTGCTTTCTCATATCTTGTATTTTTAAAACTGAAAGTTTTTTTCTGTGTTTTATTTTCCAGATCATCTCTCCTCAGGTCTCTTCTCCAGCCTGAATCTGTACGACTGGACTGGTTGTGCTTGGCAGTGTCTCAGGATGCACCACAAAGAGCGAATACTGTGGATGCAGAAGGAAATCCCAGGTGCAGTAGGGTACACCCAAGGTCCAGCAAAGCTCTTCAGTGGGTCTGCATGGCTTAGATTTTGTATGATGGTTTGGATGTCATTGAATCCTTGGAGCATTTTGCATGTTGCAGGGTTTGGCAGAAGCAACTAAAGATTAAATAACTTTTATCTGTAACCCTTTTCAGAGTGACTGCTCTAGGGAGACTACACAGTATTTAATTTGGTTTTACTTCTTTCCCTTCACATACAAACTTTTCTCGTAGAAAGAACATAATTCTGTGAAGAAAATTATTAGTGCTTTAAAACAAATTTCTCCTCTTCTAGGCCACGATCACATCTGTTCACCTGGGGCTACAGCCAGCTCATTCTGCTTTTGATCAAACTCCCAGCAGATTTTGCTACAAAAGAGAAGATGGCTGACATCTGTAAATCACATGGGTAAGGAGAAAACTTGCAAATTTGAGATACTTGCTTAGTTGGTGTTCTGACCCCAAACAGATACAAATGGAAACCACCCATCTGCTCCTTACTTGGCCAGGTTTTATCTAAGAACCAACTTACTGTACCAAATACCCTTTTTGGTTAAGGGGTATTCCCCAGGTCCCCACTCTGCACTGATTTCTGACACAAGAAATTCAGTGGCTTCTGTTTTCACTGATAGTTCAATGAGCATTTAATTATTGCTGACTGTAGTTTAGACTGAGTATTTGACTCTTGGAAATCTTTACTCTCTTATTCAAGATTTTGGACTGGATATCTTTTTCTCTGTCTGGAGCTGGATAGAAGAACAGAAGCCTTTACTAATATTGCTTATTTGGATGATTTGAGCCTGTTGAATGGAGAAGATGGTTAGTGAGTCTTAAGCTGTATTAACATACTTCTGTAATGTGGGAACTGCCATTATTATATACAGATTTGTCCTAAGTTGAGTTGAACTTTTATTTTTGGAAGTGTTTTGGTAGCACTAACTGTGAGTGCAGCATATTTGAAACACATAAGTGGTACTTATGCTTTTATATCTTCACACTGTGCTTTGTGGAATCAGTTGTGCTAGAAAGTGCTTAAAAGTTCAAAAATATAGACTTGTTTATCAGTTGGGAGCTAAACTTGGTGTTGTAGACAGAGGAGTAGCCACCCTCACACAAAACTGCCCACCACTGCATGTGTGCACACACAAAGTTGCTGCAGTCACAGCATTGTTATCATGTGGCAGAACTGAGAAGAAAATTCTCAGTAGCCCTGAGAGAGACACACCAATTCTTTGTTGATGAAGTAGTGACCGACTGTGGAGTTTTGTGTGTACTTTGCCACTGAGTCCTCACCCCGAGTCAGTCCAGGCAGTACACTCCTGCACACAACTGCCTTGCTGCTAGCACTTGGTTTTCTTAACATCTTCCCGGAGAAGAACAGAACAGTTAGCTTCGCTCTTGAGTGCAGACATATTTAAAACAGCAGCCTAGCCTAATCCTTATTTTACAACGAACGTAACCAACTCGTTGTACGCCTAGGTTCCATGCCGGAGAGCACGGCAGAGTGGAAGTTGCTCCTGCACCTTGCCGCAGAGCACAGCGCCGCGCTGCACCACGACGGGCCGCAGAACGGGGGCGCCGCC